CCGCGGCTGGGGCGTGCAGGGATGGTGACGTGCAGGAGCCGCAGCACAGAGGGCGGGCGGCCGAACCGCAGTGCCCTCGACGCACCCCCACTCCCCGCCCCCAGGCGGAGCGCAGGGCGCGAGCGGAAGGAGGGGTGTAGAGCATACACACACACACACACACACACACACACACACACACACACTCTAGAGGCACACATAGGTTCTTACCCACACACCAGACAATTACACCACATTACCCCAAACACGTGAGAGATGTACAACATGCTGGTACACACAAGTCAATTTTACGCACGCTCCGTCCCAGACACTCAGGCTCGTTCACGCACACCGTAGACAATTTTGCACACATATACCCATATATGATTGGACACAATCCAAGCATTCTCTCTCTCTCTCTCTCTCTCTCTCTCTCTCTCTCTCTCTCTCTCACACACACACACACACACACAACCAGAAATTCTTATTGTCAAATAACCCTATGCATCCGCTCCATAGTACTGAAATTAATTGCCCAGCCCGGGAGACACACGTTGGACACACCATTCATCCACTCAGCACTACTGTACTGATTGCCTGATAACACCTGGCACTGCCATGGGCTTTGGGGACAGGGCCAACAGAAGCCCCTGCCCACCGGGAGCTGACCTTCTAAGGAGGATGTACCCTGCAGTGGTAAGGGCAGAAGATGGTACCGCGGGGCAAGAGGGACAGGCCAGTAGCTCACTCCTGCAGACAGCAGGACAAAGACCTTCTCACACCTAAGCCAATGACTCACGCTGGGACTGGATGCACACTCCAGTGACATAGTATGACAAAGAGATTTTCCACCAGTACCAAAGGCCAAGGCGACTCCACACATGGCTCAGACTCCCGGTAGAACGCCCACACACATCCACACCAGAAATAAATCGGAAGCTTAAATAGAAACACTCTAGAGAGGAACACACAAAGAAATAGATCACCACACACATGCACCTGCTGTCTCCCAGACAGTCAAACACCCCCATCCAGGAGCACCTCCCCCCGTTTAGGGTACAGTCACCCTTGCTGTGCCTGGAACTTGCAGCCTGAGGTCCCTGGGTTCCTCTAACTTGGGCCATGGAGGGAATGGGGGTGTGGGGTGTACTCTGCTGGGTGTCCCCTGGCCTTTCTCGGGGGCCAGGCCATGTGTGCTTCCTCTAGGCAGTTCCCTCATTTCTCCATGATTTTCAAGCCAGGGACCATGAGTAGTCCCAGCAGAGACCCAGCCGTCCCAACTGTACTTCCTGAATGGAGAATCGACAGCTGCCCACCCTTTCACAGCAAGTCCAGACATGCAGAGTTGAACACAGAGTGGGGACTGCTGTGATGACAGCATCCCCTCCAGACGTCCTTGTTTCCTTCTGTGCTGGGAGCTGTCCTTTCAGCACCAAGCCAGAGGGGTTCACGGGTTGTTTCTGTGACTGTTGAGACCTATGGCGACTTTGGATCCATAGCCTCAGTTGACACCCCCTGCATTTACAGTTTCAACCCTAGAACAAGCCAGTCTGGGCTGCAAGGGATACCTTTCACTGCCCATGTGTTAGGAGAGATGCAGGGAGAAGCAGATGCTGAGCCAGGCCTGGATGCCAGACTCCTCCACTATGTGAGTATTTAGCAAATGTTTTTTTTTTCTTTTTAAACTTTTTTTTTATTATTTATTAATGTATTTATTGGAGGTATTTAAGATCAAACTCAGGGCCTTGTGCATGCTAGGCAAGTGCTCTGCTGCTGAACTACATCCTCATCCCTGCAAGTCTGTTTCTGTATTTGAGAGAGACTAATACTGGGAACACAGGTGAGTATCTAGAAAGCCCCTGCCTTCAACAACTGCATAATCCATGGTTGAGAGAGTGCAGTGTCAAGACTAGAGGGATATAAGCAGGGAGGTAGGCAAGAAAGCACAATAATGGTTCCCACTTTAGAGAGGTCTTCACATGCCAGGGGCAGGGGCAGCACTGCACCCAGGGAAATTCTCCTGTACCTCACAGCACCCTCTGAGTTTTACAGCCTCACTTTACAGATGAGGAGACTGAGGCTCAGAGAGATCAATAACTTGCCTCTGGTCAAGGGAGACTTCTGGGATTTGGACACTGCAGTCACGCCCGAGTCTGTGTTCACTTTCTCCTCTCCCCAAGAAGCCTGACAGAGAGGGGAGAATGGAAGTGTTGAAGTCAGAAGGGTCTGGATTTGGGGCTTAGACTCCTGGCCTTTGTGCCACCTTGGGCAGCTAATCATCCAACACCGAGCTAACCTACATTTAGGGCCCCACTGCATGTTGCAGGCTCTGTCACTCTCCATCAGGGCGACCTGGCTTCCTGGACTGCCCCCCCCCCATACAAGGGTTTTGCACACATCAGGTGTTTCACACTTCATGTTCTGCTTTACACACCATTGGCTCCTTCAGCTGCCTCCTGTGGTACACAATGCCACCTCCACCTTCAGGCTGGGACACGACGGGTGACAAACCTTAAACCCATGGCTCAGGAAGGGACCCAGCTGGGACTCCAACTCTGGTGTGCAGACTCCTTTGCACAGCCTCTCCTGGTCCCAAAGCCAGGAACCCAAGCATGGTGGGGAGAGGGGGCAGACCCAGGACAGCAGTTAGGAAAGGCACCCCCAGCCTGCTGTGAGACCAAGGGAAGCTGTGTCTGACACAGATCCCTAGAGGAAGCACCACCCAGTGACAGCCATGGCCGCCCCATCCTGTCCAGCTGGTGCTCCAGGGGTGAATGACACCATGATATTTTAGGAGAGGCCAATCTGAGCTCATCCCCTCAGACCGCAGAGCCTTCCAGGGACCATGAGTAGTCCCAGCAGAGACAGGAACGTGTCAGGCAACAGCAGGAAGAGGACACGAGAAGCCAGTTCAGCTCCATGGTGCACTTGGCGTAGACATACAAAACACAAAAGAGGTCTTAAAAAAAATAGCCTAAGTTGTAAAAAGAACATTTGCAGAAAAGTAAGAAAAGAGAATGTCTTTGTGACCAGCTATATACTGCTGTTAGTGAGTCATGAATTACCGTGTGCATTTTAGATGTAAGGAAAGAAGTTCAGAGAAGTTAAGCAAGCTGCCTAAGGTTGCATGGCGATGAGTGAGAGAAATCCAGGCAGCTGGATTCTAGAAGGTCTGCTTTTTATGTTGCTTTCAAATCAGTACGTCAGGGATTGTGGTCAGCTAGATAACAGCCCTCCAAGACAGCCACCTCATCCCTGGAACCCGTGTGTATTAATTCACATGGCAAGTGGGGACATTTTGTGGGCTTTAATAAGAACTCAGGGAGATTATCCTGGATTATATGGATGGAGCCGAGGGAGAGACGGGCTCTGTTAAAACAGGAGAGGGAGCAAGCAGAGCCGCATGAGAAGATGCTCATGCAGAGGTTGGAGTTAGAGTCGAAGAAGCTAAGCTGCTGGCTCTGAGGATGAAGGAAGGGGCTGCCAGGCAGAGCTGGGAGGGCGAGGACATGGGTTCCCTCTGGAGCCTCCCCAAGGAACAGGGCCCCACCAACCCCTGACTTAGCCTGGCAAGACCCATTTCAGACTTGTGACCTCATCTGTGAGGTGATGGGTGAGTGTTGCTTTTAGGCGTTAGGTGGATGGATGGCATCTGTCAGGGCAGCAAGGAAATTAATGCAGGGATGTGACGGATCCTGCAGGGAATCCCCTCACGGTCTGTGCAAAGTGGATTCCCCTGGAGAGAAGATACTGCATTCCCCGCCAAGACCAAGAGAGTCCTGGATCCGTTGCCTCTTTGTGTCACGTCAGGACTCCCAACACTGTGGGAACCACTCATCCATCAAACATTCAAAAGGAAAAAAACACAACTCTGTGAAAAGCATACATTTTAATGTACAAAATTACACAAAGTATACATTTAACTAACATAGAAAAATACATCTGGGTAACAAGGGGGAATCCTGGCCTGCTTCACACAAGATGGAGCAATTGTTACAAATCTTGAAAACCTGGAAGGGAGAGATGAGCCCAAGTCCCAGGGATCAGGAATCTGAGAAGCAGCTCCTGGTGGCTGGCTCTGTCACATCCCTGCTGGCAGGCATGACGGAACACCCACTGGCCCAGCACCCAAGGAGGGTCCTGCTGAAGAGCATCCAAAAGGAAGGGGGTCTGCTCCTGGTGCTGGACCACCCGGTGAGCAGCACATCCCACCATGGGGGGCTTATCCCGCCATCGTCTAGGAGTCCTTGCACGTCCACGCAGCCACAAGGGGTGGACTTTCTGTGCATTTTGGATCTGGTGTAAAAACACACACTTTCCAAACTGATGTTGTGCTTCACAGATTTCCTGGGATCTCTGCCCAGGATTCAACTAGGAAAGAGTAAGGAGGCCCTGGAGGATCTGCCAAAACGAACCCACAAATCTTACTCATGATCTCTGCCAGTGATCCACTGGCTCTTCCCTGCCTGACCATCAAAAAGCAGGCAGTAAAAACCTGCGCTGTGGAAGAGATGGACGCAGTCCCCAGCTCGGGGTGGCAGTAGATGCTCCAGCATCCCTCTGAGAGGCATCTGCAGAGCCTGCTGTCATGGGGAAGAGGCAGGGCTCCTGGTGTCCTCTAACTATGCGCTCCCCCCAGGATCCCACACCCCCGGCCCTGTTCCTGCAGAGGAGCTGGGGACACAAGCACCATGCCCAAGCCTGCACGGCTGCTTGGCACATCCAGAGTTCAAACCCAGAGTACCTCCCCAGCCCCAGAGCTCACCCCCTCCTCTGTTAGGGGCAGACTTTGTCCTTGTCCCCATGAGAAGCTGTCACATCACTGGACAGGCAGCATTCTCCCCATCACTTCAGTGTCCTGCTTACAAACACCGTGTCATAGCACGTTCAAACACATTGACACAGAGTTGAAATGAAGTCTTCAGCTACTTTAACAATCTCAGTCATTTGTCTTTCCTTCCCTTTTTCTACCATCAGATAGAGGTGCTATCGGTCTGTGCCTTATCACAGCCATGGCCACGGTGTCGTTCATGACTCTTCACTGCACAGACACCAGGCATGGAGCGGTCATGGGAAAGATCAAATGGGATAAAAGGAAATGCAATTCTCCACCCCAGCTCTGCGGGCTTATTGAAAGCAGTTTTAGGTCCTGCGTATGGATTCTCTTCCTCTAGAAATTCTCCTGACACAGGGAAGAGGACTAAATATATCAGCAAACCCCAGGGGTTTCCTTTCTCATTTTTCCTTAAGGCACCAGAGAATTTCAAAGAGTTTATTTCAAAACTAAGAAGGAATAAAGTTGGCCGCTGGTGCGCAGGCTGAATGGAGACCTCGTCCTGTTTGCTTATACCACTGATATAACCGCTCACCAAATCCAGGTAGGAGAGGTTAGGGTGCGGCAGCTACCCCCAGGAGGCTCTCTTGGTGTCTCTATCACAACATCCGCTGCAGTGTCTGGGCTTTATCTGGATTTCCAGATATTGTGCAGTAACCAGCCATCCAGAGCCCAGCCCCAGAGCTGCCCTGTGGAGCCAAGTCCCACCACATGTCCTGAAATCCATTTCCATAGGGATTATCCTCCGCTTAAAAGGCCCTCTAAGGGCACAGTCACAAAGCCGACTCACGGCCAGAAATACTCCAAAGATGAGAAACTTCTCCCGCCAACTCCGAGAACACATTTTTTTTTTTCCCCAGCGAGGAGTAAAAATGAACAAGTCTAACACCAGAGAAACCCGCAGTGGCATCTCGGAATTTAATTAGCCGAGGGGATGGGAGAATTGCAAAGGACTGTGGGGCCATGGTCTGATGGTTCTGTCCCTGGCGTGTGTTAGATTCAGCAGGGAGCTCTTGGAAGGTGCCCTGCCCGGGGCCCAGGCGAGACATCTGATGCCTGGGTGGGGCCTGGATCTTTAGAAAAGCTTACAGGCCAGGCCAGTGTGCAGGAGTCACAGAGAGTCTCCACTGCAGGTCTTCACATCCCACCAATGGCCTGGGGGACGAGTGGCAGCGCTCTCCAGACACCCCCCACCTCCTTGCCCCAGAACAGCACGATCTCAACTCAAAGGAAAGTTGAGGGTCTAAAAGATGTCAGAATTGTCTAGCACCCCATTCTCAGAAGTTGACTGAGTTCTCAAAAAGTTTCACTTTCCAGACCTGGAATCTCAGCCTGGAATCAACTGGGAGCCGTGAATTTCTTAAAAGAAACTCAGCGGCCGGAGGGAGAAAAGACCCCCTCAAGTTTCTAAAGTCTGTTCAATAAATTGCTGAGTGAAACAAACAAAAATGAACTATGCGTTGAGAGGATTGCTCCCCGCCCTCTTCGATGAAGGCTAACCAGACTCCGAAAGGATCTCGGCACAAAGTGATTCGTGGAGTTCCATCCGCTTTCTGGAGATTCTCACAGGGAGGAGCTAGACAGGGCAGGTCATGGAGGGTGAAGCCGAAGCCCGGTCACAGAGTCTAGCCAAGAAGCAGGTGCGTTTCCCAGGTACCATGGAGTTCAGGGCTTCCCCGGATTCGACACCCAGGGAAAGCGTTCCTGGCACTAACACGTGTTGCCAGGTGGGGCCACGCGGACTGTGACCTGCTATGACATGAATTGCCTGGTGGCATTCTGAACCTGAGGGGCCTGCAGGTGGCCCGGCTGGGAATCCTCTGTCAAGACTCCAAATCAAGCTGGAGGTGCCGCTGAACCCCACTGTCTTTGGTTTCCTGTAGAATGAGGAAAGGTGGACATTGATCCTAAAGTCTAAGGCCTTGCCAGCGCCCACAGAGGGTGCTTCTGGACTTGTTAGCTCAGTGCCTGCTCTGCTGGCCTGCTGGGCAAGGGCAAGGGAGTGACCCCCCAAGCACATGGCCCAGGCAGTCCACAGAGCCATCTGCCCACGCTGCCTCGCTCCCGGCTGCCACCGCACCTTCAGCGTACCTATTTTAAGCACACAGCCTAGTGGTTCATGGGGAAGCGTTACCATGCCAACTGGCTGCCTGTTGCTAATCATAATCTATGAATGTGCTGTACAACCATCTGACAAGCAAGTCTTTTCTCCCTTTGCCTGGGGACTTTTTCCAAATTGTCCTAAGACAGATCATCACCATGCTCATAACAGCACACAGTAGGTGCCTAATAAGTTTGCACTGAATCGAGGACCTGAATAAAGTACCTGCACGGCACTTGGGTCTGACAGGCGCTTCTCTGCCCAGCGTGTCCACTGCTTCCACAGCACGTGCGGAAGCAGCTATTTCCCTACCCCCATTTGCCAGACGAGGAAACAGGGGAAGGGAAGTTCCTTCCCTGGCTTCAAAGTTAGTAAGTTGCAGAACTGAGATGGCAGCCTGGTCCCTCTGGTTTAAACCCTAATGATCTTCCCCTCGGCCAGGTGGTATCTGTCCTGTGGAGCGTGTGGACAGTCACAAGCACCTATCCTGTATGTTTATGAGAGACAAAATTCTTTTCCATCTACCTTTCCATTTCATTCATTCAAAGAGTTGGGGCTCTGCCAGGGTCCCCCATGTGCAGTGGCATGGACTACTCACTCCATGGGGGACTCCTGGAAAGGACAGAAGTAACAGTAACAGCATGAGTGGGCAGAAAGACCAGTGGTAGGCGATGGCTGGGGACTTAGGGGGAGCTTTCCATCTGGGGCTGGTGAAGCAGCAGGCGGGGCCCAGAACAGAGGGTGCCCCTATCCCCCAGCAACAAGCCCAAGGGCAAAGCCAGGCCCTGCACAAAGCCAGCTCAGGGGGCACTTACCAAGTGCTCAGCACCGCTGACCTGTTGACCAACGGGAACTCCCGCTGCAGGAGGGTGGGGACTAGGAGTGCTTTGCCCTCTCCTATGACTCCAGGGCCTACTGCTGCGCCTGGCACCAGGGCTTGTTGGTTAAGTGAAGGGATGACACCTGGTAAGCGGCCAACCCTAACCCCAAGAACCTGTGGAGTGTGCTGGGGGCAGGGGGCACTAGAAGACAGATCTCTCTCATTTCTTTTTTTAACATTTGGAAAAACGTGACATTCTTTTAACCTAGGTGGCAGATTTCTGCTTGGGAAGGGAAGAAAGGGACCCAGACTTTATTGAGCATATACTAAGTGTAGGTACCTGACATTTCTCATTTCTTCTGGTGCTGGCGAGGAGAGTGATACGGCCCCCCACTTACCGAGAGAGGACTTTGCAGATCAGAATGGGGGCTGGCCTGCTCAGGGTGGGTTTTGAAATCATGCTCACAATTCCTAAAGCCAGGTTGTTCCCACAATGTCATGTATCTTGCCAGGAAGGAGATCTGGAGCCTTAGACAGGCCCCACTTGTTAGAAAGGAGCAGTGGTGAAGCACCTCCTGGTGCCCACTCCCACACACTAGGTCACCTGACGTGACCTGTGCTCTTATTCATGCTTCCCGATGCCCAGCTTGGTCTCTCTCCCTCTCTCTGCCCCCTCCTTCTCTCCTCTGTGCCGGGGACCACACCCAGAGTCAACACAGTCAACGTGTGCCCGTCTTCCATCTTCAACCCGAGGCTGGAGACGGGCAGCGTTCCTCTCCCACAGCAGGGACCAAGGCTCAGAACCATTAAGGGCTCTGCCCAGGTCGCTGGACAGGTGGCAGCAGGGCTGAGGGTCCAGCCCAGGCACGGCGATTCCGGTCCAGGACCACCCCTGGGGAATGCAGTTTCTGCACTGCCCGCCTGCGGAATGGGCCAGGCCACTGTCCTTCTCTGTGCCTCTGGATTCTCACCCACGATACAAAGGTGACAATAGACCCAGTGTCTCCAGGTGACAGCCGTGGAGATTTGTAGTTCATGGTGAGTTGAGGAGAAGGCATGAGGGACCCTGAGGCCCACTGGGCCAAGTGCCAGTCGGGGAGCGGGGTGCTGACCTCAGGTAGCCGTGACTGTGGCTGGGAAGGTAGGGTTCACAGTCAGCAGGGCTACCAACTGTCCGAGGCAGCCAGACATCCAGATTATATAAGAAATCTCCTGGCTCTTAAAGGTCACTTGCTCATTGTAATTTTAGAAACGTCCCCAGCAGCTTCCTTCACCACGGCCGTGAGGTGGAGGCCAGCCGGCTGTCCTGGGTGGTGAGGGAATAGACACGCGTGGTGCATCCCTAGGGTGGGACACTACTCAGCCTTGAGCAGGAAGGATGCGCTGACCCGGGCGTCACCACGAGCTGACCCACACACGTCCTGCACACGCAGTGAGCCAGTCACCCAAGGACAAGTACCGTGGGGTTCCAGTTGCTGGAGGTCCCTGGAGACAGGTCAGAGTGGTGTGGCTGGAGTCTGGGGAGGGGACAGGGAGCTAGTGACGGTGCTTCAGTTTGGGAGGTTTCTGATGTGGTGGGGGTGACAGGGGCACAATGAATGTGCTCCAGGCCCCTGAACCGAACTCAAGATGGCTCGTTAAGACGGTTTGTTAAGACGGTGAGTTTCACGCTGAGCTCACTTCACCATAACCAGCCCACCCAGCAAACGGAAAGGCGTGAACCAAACAAAACAGGCTGTGTGCCTGCTGCCCGAGAAGCGCAGGGTCTGTCACTCGCCCTCACTGACCACCGCCCCCAGTTCTGCTGCCACCCAAGACACCAGTGCTGACCCCAACCCCAGGCTGCCTCCTGCCATGGACTCCTGTCTCACAGCAGCAGCGGCTAGGAAATAAATGGCTTGGGCCTCAACAGGCAGCTGGCTTTTCCTTGCATCTTCCAGGTGGTGCTTAGAGGTCACCTGTCCCCAGTTGCCACCCCCCCTTCCCAGCTATCCACGAAAGCTGGCCTCACAGTCATGAAGCTCACAGGAAGGCACCTGAGGGAGAGGGCAGCCTTGGTCAGAGCTCAACTCCTGGGCAGTGACGCCCTTGCTGGGTGGAAACTGCTGGAACCTGGGTGCCGTGCTTGGGGTCCTTTGGTGTGTGTGGGTATTTGGGGACAATAGGTAGATATAAGTTGCTTGAAGTGACACGTGTGTGGAAAGGAAGAGCTCGCCCTTCTTCCCAGAGCAGGGAGGCTGTTCTGGGGCCTCCCCACCAGCCAGTGCCTGCTGCACAGTAGGACACCAGGAGGGCTGCAGCAGGCATCAGAGCTACAGGGGGCCCAGGAGGCTGTGGTCACACCCACTGTACAGATGAGGAAGTGAGGCCCGTGGAGGCCAAGGGGCGGCCTGAAGTCACCAGCAAGTTTGAGACAGAGTTGGTGTCTGGCTCCCCACCAGGACCAGGGATGCCTGACCACTGGGGTCCAGTCTCCTTTGAGAGTCTGTGGAGACCCAGGGCCTCTCCCTTGAAGTCTCTGCACAGGTCCTCAGCCCAGCGGAGCCTCTGCAGGAAACATCAGTGTCTACGTGATCACTGAGGTCCCTTTGAAACCATTCCAGTACAGGTCCCTTCACCTACCCTGGGAGGGACCACGTAGAGCCAAAGATGCACCAAGTCCCTAAAGCCACCGGGAGGAGATGGAGTCACCTTCAGGGCCCAGCTGTCCAGTAGGCAGGGGGACCCTCGAACAGACGATGAAGAGCTCTTTCCAGGAAGGTAAGTGACCAGCTCCAGGTGACGCGGCTTAGAGGGGCAGAGCCACAAATCCTCGGGACTCCAGACCCCAGGCTCACGCCGACCCCTGGTGCTAACGCAGCCTTCCTGTGTCACGCCTTTGGCTCCCTGCTGGTACCATCAAGGTAAGGTGTCCCCTCAGCGAGCTGAGCAGGCTTGGCTTGGAATGCCACTCTCCGGGAGGGATTGTAAATCCCTCGGTCACTTGGGAGAGACGTAAATATTCCTGGGATGATGTGATTGCCTCTGTGTCGTCTTCCTTCCTGCAACAAGGAAAGCAGGGAGATGAGTCCTCAGAGGGACCAAACCTACCGCTGTGACTTCCACATGTGGCCATCCACCTGCACCAGCCTTGGGGTTGCTGGGGGCCGCCTCTGGCTCTGTGCGGTGGACAGCCCTTACCTGATCTGCCTGCTGCTCTCTAGGAGAGGCTGTGTTTAGGATTCACAGGGGCATCCTCTCTATCTGGGGTTCATGAACCCTGATGTAATATGGACATTTCATGTGAGCAGACATTTGTGCACTGGGAGTGGACAGGGGCTCTAGCTTTTCTGAGCCTTTCAAAGAGATCAGTGGCTATTAGAAGGTCGAGAGCAACTGACCCAAAGGAAGAGAGAAACTGGGGTTCTCATGGATGTGTTCCCTCCTCCCTCCCTAGAGTCCTGTCATATGCCAGGCTGGGTGCCTCTGCGGCTCCATGCGCCCCCTCCCGGGGTGTCAGTGCACACAAGCCAACAGGGCAGCATGGGAATCACAGGGTGTACGCAGGTCTCTGCTGTGACCATGGAGAACAGAGTGAGATGGCCATGGGTGCCAGGAAGGGACAGTGGAGGTAGGCGAGCAGGAAGAGGTCTCCAGGCCCCTGCACAGAGGCCCTGTGGGGAGGGAGGTCATGAGAGGACAGAGGTGAGGGGCAGCGGGGCTGCGTGGAGAAGTGGGAGGATGTTGGGCACATCCCAGGCCAGTGCCAGGACCCAGTTGTGGCATCAGAAGGAGGAGAGGGAGGTAGGAAAGGAAGGTATTGGGGTGGGGAGTGCCTAGAGACAGTGACCTCTGGGCAGTGTTGAGGACAAAGAGGAGTTTCCTGGACAGAGAACACAGCTTGGGCAGAAGCCAAGAGGTGTGGAACGGTGCAGGCCAGGAGGGGCTCGGCAAGCATGGCGGGCAGACAGGGTTCTGGGAGCTCGGTTTGCCAAGAGGAGCCTGCATGGACAGTGCCCGATTCATAAGTGCATCTGGGCAAGGTGACAACTTACAGAGAGGGACCAGGAAAATTAAAACCCGACCAGAGCACAGCATCCCCCTGTGATTCCACAGTTGCCCCCTGGCTGATTTCACTGGGGCAGGATTTACTGGGGTCTGCAGGGTTGGACAGTGATGGCCACGTAGCTTGTGGCTGCAGTCACCATGAGGACAATTGGTGAGGATGCCCACCACACGTCACCCCGTGGGAACAAAGTTGCTCTCACTGCACGTTTATGTGTGCAGGTGTTTTGAGCCTGCTTTTCTAAATGTATTTATATCTGTCTGTCTGTCTGTGCACCACATCACATGCATTTTTGGAAGGGAATAAGCAAGACAAAAATAAACACAATTCAAATCCTCAAACCTTATAGGGTCACTGGCACCACACGTCAGCAGGCACCCATGTCACTCGGGGGCTCTGTCAACGCTCAGATCCCTAGGCTCGATCCCAGCCTTCGGGGCTCCGTGTCCATGAGCAAACCTCAGAAGCCTGTGTTTCCAGGAGTGCCATGCTCCTGCGTGTGCCTGGGGCTTTGCCTTCACTAAGCTCATGCACTAAGTACCTGCATCCGGGTATCGCTGTATTGAGTGACGCTGCAGTCTGAGGACAAAGCAGAAGAGTAAAGTCGCTGTCACAAGAAGCAGCTAAGTGACACCAAACACAAAGCAATCATCATTCCTTGCCTATGTCCCACACACGGTTCATACCTAGATTACCCAAATTCTTGCACTGACCAAGAAATCAATGCAACAACAGTTCCAGAATCAACGAATAGGGTCATCTCCATAACCCAGTGGGACACTTAGAGGATGATTCCTGACAAAGTTGTGCTCAAAAAATTATAACATACAAAACATACTCTGAGAAATGGTCAGCAGAAGGAGAGAAACATCACTTGAAGGGGTTACATGGAAAAGGGATTCTACAAAGGGCTTTTAAATAATGTTTACAACAGATGTATATGTTCTATAAGTAAAAAACAGAGTCATTGGTATAAGACCTCTATAGGCAGGTTAAGCAGCAAACTAGACACAGGTGAAGAGAGACTCAGTGAACTGAAGGCAGCGCTGAGAAAATCATCCAAAATTCAGCACAGAGAGCTAAAGAGGTCCAGGGAAGGGTTGCTGGAGATTGAGTGGAGACATTAGAGTTAAGACCCAATGACCAGGGAGATCCAGCCATGAAAAGAAATGAGGCTGAGGCTCCTAGGCATGGAGGCAGACAAGCACAGCAGGAGAGGTTGTGTGCCTGCTGTGTGCGAAGGTGATGAGGCGAAGAGGACGCTTGAGACCAGCCCAGAAGTGGGGCTCCCGGGAGCCATGCTCCAGCCGGTGCAGAGGCCTTCCTGAGAGTGAGAGCTGACCTTCTGCACACTCACTCACGGGTTCCCTGCCAAGCGCCCACTGTGGGCCAGGCCCTGTGCTCAAGGCCATGGGGAATGCTGAGACGAGTAAAACCCAGACACCTGTCCTCAAGGGCCACTCCTTGAGTGCGCCAACAGACCAGCAAGTTCAATGCCCAAGGAATCCGCAAGCTGGCTTAGAAGAGGAGGAGTGGGGAGTGGGGTCAGGGAAGGAGCCCCTTAGAGACCTGATGGAGGGAGGCATGGGATGGGCTTCTCAAGAGGGCTGGAGAGCTCTCTGCTCTGCAGTATGGGTGGCAGAGGGGACACCCACATCTGAAGGAGCACCCAACCTGTGCCCTCCAGGGTCCTCGCCAACCCCACGGCATGAGGCAGTCTGGAACCTCGGCAGGCATTTCTGCACCTGGGCAGGTGAGACCAGCCGCAGCCTCACCTGGCAGTCGGACGGAGGAAGCGAGCAGTGAGCAGGCAGCGGGGAGATCCCGGGCACGGAGGCAACCACATGATGGGGAGGGGGGAAGCCCTGGGGTATCAGAAAACCAGGCCAAAAACGGGGACAGTAGTCCATGTCCTACTTAGTTTCAGACCCTTGAAGACAAGAGCTCCTCCAGGAGAGCACACAGCCAACAGGAGAGCAGCACCGACGTGGCTGTCCCGACACCTCCGCTCACCCACCCCCAGGCCAGGCAGCTCGGGGAAGCATGGGACATGGGAAGGTCACACCTGGGGACCTTCATCACCACCTTTTCTCTCCCTCTGATCTGTAAGTCAAAGTGTAGCTGAGGATGAGCCGTGACAAGATGAAAAACCCCTGAAGTTCAGAGCTGGGGGCTCCGGTGCTCCCTCCTGCACTGCTGCCCCCACAGAGCCCTCCGCCATCTCTGCCTGGACCACTGGGACAGCTCCCACCAGGCTCCCTGCTTCCAGGCTGTCCCCATCCCGTGCACAGCTGCCAGAGTTACTAGAAAGAGGGTGATGTCATCCCCCTGCCTCTCTCTCTGCTCCTAGGACCACCCAGACTCCAGCAAGACCCACGGAACACCCTGCGACTGCAGCCAGCCCGCCTCTGCCCGCTGGTCTCTGGAATTCAGGCCTCTCCACATCCTGCAGCAGCCTCGGGGCCTCCCGCAGACCCAGCACCGCAGCCATCCCTCCAGCCGTGGTGCCAGGTGCCTGGGGTGGAAGGGCACACACGCCAGCCACCAAGGGCAGGCACCGCTGGCACGGGGGCAGGCTCCTGGGCCGTCTCCAGTGCCTTTCTCTTCTTGGGGTTCGGGAGCCTCCATTTCCACCGCACTTCTTCAGGCGCAGTTGCTGGGCCAGAAATGCCGTGCTCTTCAAGCGTCTCTCATCCAGTGTGAAATCCAGGTCCACCAAGTGCTCCAATCACGGTGCAGGCCCAGCATGTGCTCCCTGGAGCTCCCAGCCCTCAGGACAGAGGACAGCCCAGCATCACAGGAGACCAGAGCCCTGGAGAGGAGATCCTGGAGGCTGTGGCCGAGGAGGGTTATGAGGGAGCCCCAAGAGGCACCTGTTCTGGGGGACCTGACACAAAGGAGTGAGCCCAGGGCTCCAGAAAGGTAGACCAGCAGGGCAAGGCAGGAGAGCCACATGTTACAGGACACAGCCCCAGAGGACGCCTCCCTGTTCTGGCCGCTGCACCAGTCCTGGACAGGACAGTCACATGGAATCCTCATGACTCTAGGATGCATGTTTATCATGTTCCCATTTACAGAGGAGGATGCGGAGATGCAGAGAAATGTCCCCAAGGTCCCATAGTAGGTGGTGGCGGCACTGGGATTTTAAAGCAGACATGCCAGAGTCCAGGACCCATGCCCCGAGCAAGGCCCAGAGGGACAGTGTGGAAACAGCCCCATGTGCCCAGGAAACTGCCTGCAAGAGCCAGAGAGAGGCGGGTCCTGAGCAGGGACCCTCTGCTCATGTGATTCCCATTGACAGCACCTGGTTCCAAGGCACTTCCTGGGGACAGTCAGCACTTTCTGGCAGGGACAGGGAATCAAGTGCAAAACTCATGATTTTTTTTTTAAAATAAAAACCTTCAAAATTTAACAATCTACTTGGTTTTCTCCATCTGGTCACTAATTTTTATATTTCCAATGCTGTCTGTGCTTCAGATCCATGCTGGGCTATGAACACGTTTGGTGTGAATCTCAGAGTTTTAATTAGCATGCTAGCTGTTCCTATGGCCACATAATTAGATTAGGAAATGGACCTCTGCCCCAAAGACAAGTGACCTCACGTAATCGTCCCCCTCAATCACGGCTGAGCACGAACGTTCCTGGTTCTCCCCCAGAGCCCCCCCGCCTCACCTTCAGCAGGGTGGTGTCCCTATTTCTCCAGGGGTTTCAGCAAAGCCAATGGGTTCTGCCCCGTAGTCTACCTAATGCATGGAGTCCTCTGGCCCTTCTCAGAGCGAGGACCCTCTCTCCTGGAGGCTCCGTGCAGGATGGCTGCTGAACTGCCCTCGCAGGCGTCTCCTCGCGCTCAGCACCCAGCCAGGGAGGCCTGCTCCATTGGCAGCTCTAACGGTTGGGAAATTCATCCATGAATGGAGTTAAAATGAGACTTGCTGGGACGTGGGAGGCCCCCAGAAGGAACGCTTCACATGCCAACTGGGGGCCACTGGTGGAGCGGGTGTCTCTACAGACATGCCAGGCCGGGTCAGGCGACTCCCTGGCTGCTCTGTGGTTCCTCAGGATTGGGAAAGAATGCACAGAAGGGCCAGCTTGGCTGCGTCCTCTGCCCAAGGCAGCCCAACCTGCTCATCTGACACAAGGTAAAAAGATACAGAGGTGACTTGCTGCTGTCAGACCCTGGCAGGGCACAGAGGAGGAGACTGCAGAGTCGGCTGGGAAATGAGCAGCCGGCGCTTGGACAAAAACAGACCTGAGTTTTCACGTTGGCCGATTTCCATGGTGTAAAACCTCTGTGGATGAGTGCCAGCCACTGAGGTGATGCCACTAAGAAGCTAGAGTCTCCCAAGCCAGGAGCAGCCAGCTCCAGTGCCCCCGTAGGTGGGGGCTTTGGTAAGAGTGTACGTGTGAGAGAGTGTGCGAGTTCATGAATGAGAGCGGATGCTAATTTTGCAAAAGCAATATGAGAAAACGGAATGAGCAAAGAAATATTTTTATAACTGCAGTAGATACAATGTTATGAAGAAAACCATCTGGGATTGATAGAAGAGGCATTTTTAGCAGTGACTCCAAATTACCTTCAAGGGAATGCAAGTGTCCTTACCGTTAGAGGCACAATGGGTGGAGCAGAGAGGTCACATGCCCAGAGGCGTGTGCACATAGGTGTGTGCACGCCAGTGTTCTAAACAACCCCTGGATTTTGTTTTAATCAGATATGGAAACGGCACAGACAACAGAGGCAACTGCCCTGGAAAGAGAGCTTACTTCTCACAGCTGCCCCGGGCGGGCAGCAGGCAGGGGGCCAGTGGAGGCTGGGTGGGCCGAGCTACCCAAGTGCCTGCTATGGCTTCTGCAGGAAGGAGTGGGCGGGGCGGGCAAGGTGAGCAAGCCTCGGTTGGATGTCCCAGTGATGCCGGGCTCCAGGCTCCAGCCCTGTCTTGACTGTCTGTGCCTGGTTGTGGGGTGGCTTGGAAGCGCTGGCTTGGTGTATCAGGCTCAGTTAAGGGATGACTAGGTGCAGGCCCATGACAGGAAGTGCTTCCCACCTCTAGGAGTCAGGCAGCCTGCTAAGGCTGGCCAATGGCACCAAGGTGGCCAAGGGTTGTAAATGCAGAAAATAAAAACACGATTTGTGCCACCAGCTTTAGGCAAGTTGCATAACTTTCTTGCTCAGTTCCTCCGCCAGTGAGGGGAGGATAACTTCCCCGACAGGGCTAGTGTCTAGAAGTGGATGCTCAGGCCTGAGCAGGGGCAGAGATGACATCTGAGGCTCCAGAGCTTCCTGGAGACAAGGTGGTGCCACAGTGGCTTGCACAATTCCACGCAATGACCATCGTTGGACTGTGAGTGTGGGCGGTGGGGGTGACGTGACAGGCAGAGTGTGGAAGGATCGCACACACAGAACTGAGATTGGCTTCCACAGCTTCCTGGTGGCGTGGGAAACTAACAACACAGACAGGCAAACACGGGGTTCTCCACACGCCCTAATCTGTGCTTCAATATCAAGATTGATGGAGGCCGTCTCCACGTTCCTCCTCCCACATCCTGGCTTAATTGATGGGCTTGCTCTAGAGT